CAAATGCGCGGGTATGCTCTGGCCCCCAACAATACGCAACATCTTTCTTGGTTAGATCGCAAAGTGGAGATGATAGGGTAGCCAGACGTCCGGAGTACCTTGTTAGATAGCTTACTAAACCGAGAAAGCTCTGTAGACTTTTTGCATCTTCCGGCGGCTTCATACCAAGGATTGCTGATACTTTCTTATTATCAGGCTTCATACCTTGTGGTGTCCAAGAGTGTCCAAAGAAACTCACTTCCTTACACTTGAACTGCAACTTCTCCCTATTAAACACCACACCCTTTACTTGTGCTCTTTCCATAAGCTTGACTAGGTTTGCGTCGTGCTCTTCCTCTGAAGATCCATATACAAACGTGTCGTCTGCTATACTAGTGATGCCATCGAGGCCTTCAAATGCTGTGTCCAGCTGCTTCTGGAATATATCTTGAGAAACAACAAGACCAAAGGGTAATCGGTTGAAACGATAACGGCCAGAAGGAGTGCTGAAGGTTGTGAGGTACGAGCTTTCTGTATCCAGAGGTACGTGCCAGTACCCCTTCCTTGCATCTACCACAGTGAAGAATGTAGCATCTTTTAGCTCAGTGACCACCTCATCAATTGTCCTCGTGCGATAGTGCTCTCTTTTAACCCACTTATTCAAGTCACGGGGATCCAGGCAAAGTCTTACCTTTACTATCTCCCCTTTGCTGTTGGTTGTCTCGCTCAGCACAACACTATTAACCCAATCTGTCGGTTTCTCATTACTGGTGTAATAACACCAAGTTTTAACATATTGTCAATTTCCTGCTTGAAGTGGTCCCTAAGGTGCACTGGAACTTGTCGCGGTGGGTGGATAACTGGTTCTGCATCTGGTTCTAAGGTGATATGGTATGGCTTCATATCCTTGAATGTACCTAGTCCCTCGAATCTATCCGGGTACTCTTTCAACAGAGTCTCTTTAGTAAGAGGCGTAGCCCTCTTAACAACATTTTGTGAATTCGATAGAGTTGGTGTGCTCGCGTGCACATGCATTATTTTACAAGGAAACTGTACCAATCCCAGGTCACGCGATGTTTGACAACCTAGTATGGCAGGTCCTTCGACATCCGTAACATTAAATACTATTGGTTTAACTTCATCCATATGATGTATATATAACTGATAGGTGCCAATGTTCCTAATCTCATGACCTCCATAAGCGGTGATTTTTATATTAGGTGGCTCAAGCCGCCTTCGTTTGGGATTGGGAACAATTGTTTCATAGTCATGTTTAGATAGAACATTCAGTTCTGCACCAGTGTCAATTTTACATACTACTGGGGTGGTATACTTGTAGTAAGGCTCTGCAGTCAGATGGGTTTCAATCAGTACTTTCTTTCTCTGCTCTGTACTAAGGCTATTAATTTGGTTTGGGTTAGCACCAATGTTCGGACACTGTTCTGCTAGTAAAGTACCAAGAAATATTTTTTCATCAATATCTGGTTCATTTGAATCGCTATCATCACGCTCAAGTGAGTTACAGTTTGTTTTGAAACACATATTCGCATCAATTCGTCATGTATTTCATCCGGATAACCACTGTTCTGAATAAGGAGGTTTGCTTCGGTTAAAAACTCGTCGAGCGGTCGGCTATTCTGCTTCAAGTTTCTGAGATAGAAACGGTTGAGAAGATGGTTGGACTGAGGTTTTACGTGCCGTTCAAATCTTGTCCAACACTCGTCTAATTTGTCTTGATCGGCTTCACTCAAATTCCATGTATTGTAGAGATCAAGACCATAATCTCCTACCCATAGGAGAACATATCGACATTTCTGCTAAACAGTTCGATCTTTCAAAGGACCATCAAACAGTAATTCACACTTCTGCCGAAATCGCTTGAGCCGTTGTGGCAGATCTGGTCCGGGTGTCCAATCGATTCTTGGCGGTTCAAAGCCAGCTAATGTGACTATGTTCAGGTAACTGAAGCTAGGGTGTGGTTGTAGTGATGGAGACTACATGTGCATGCTTGTCGATTACTGATGTGAAAGACGTTTGTTATACATACGGAAACAAAAACTCCCAATAAATAAATATAGATGCTTTTAATTTCCGCACAATATAGTATACAACTTCAAAAGTTTCGTTTAAAACATAACATTAACACCAGTGATAGTTAAATATAAGAGTTCAATGTTCGATAAAAATCATCGTCACTTGATTCAGACCACAAATACTCGTCACCTGAAAGATCCTCTATAGTAATTTCGCGCCGTGGCTATTCCGTGCTTCCTTCCTCATCCTCTGAAGACGACTACGCTGACGACTGCACTGCTACGCCAAGTGCCCGTCGAAATGACTTGGTCGAAACAGATTTCTGTTAATTTTCTTGGTTGCTTTACTAGTAGATGGACATCCAAGTGCATGCATGACGAGGGTATTTGTGTACTTTGCCAGAAGGATACTCGGGAAAGAAGAGCTCGAATGTTCTTTCGTAAAATATCCAGCATGGTATCGTTGCTGACAGACTGACGTTATTTATTGAAAACGGGCAAAAGGAAAGAAAAGACTCTTTCCGACTCCGGATAGCCAATAGGAAGTGCGATGTCAGTCTCAATTACATGCAGAATATTTTGCAATCCCAACGCGTGTTTCTTAGGCCAAGGCACATATACAGTATACAGTATGACCCCGCAAAATATGTAGCTCGTATTTCAGCTTGTTTAAATGGCAGCCATTTGCTATCAACATGCAAGCTCTTAAACTTGGAAACGATCACGGAAAAGCTCTTAGACTTGGAAACCAGTTTCGAAAATAGCTCGTCACCTGTTTTGAACAAGTATATGCCTGAGTGTTCAAAACATCAGCGATTGTCAGGAACAAATCGTATGTGATAGAGCTCATGGCGTCATGCGCTCGTCAAGCGAGACTTCCAACTTCTGAATAATCTTGCGAAATTCGTGCAGACATTGAAAGAAGCGTGATCTGCATGAGCACATTCCCAACTCCTTTTGAGATCATGGATTGCCAGTACTGAGCGGCTGTAAAGGATTTTTGCAATCCTTCGGCTTTGGAGCTCTTGGGTTCCTCTACTGAGCCACATAACCTCAATTTTCGGAGCTCCTGTAGCACCTGTTTTGATGAGAAAAATTTCTTTTTCAATTTCATCTAGTAGTTTTGGCACTGCTGCTTCCATAATTCAAAGTACTGTAATACAGTAATAGTTATAGCATTACTGTTCAAAGGTTCAGTTATTTTAGTCAACACTGACAATATGTACTTTTGCTGACATATTTCCTTTGCCGATTTCTCACTGTTGAAGCTTGATCCCAAATCGACGTGGTGTACACGCTCCTCAAACGAAACTAAACGACACCTCCATATCCTGATAAACCCTTAAAGATTTTTTCCCAATCAAGCAGTGTGCCAACTGGAATTTATTGGTAAATCAACTAAGTTACTTCGGGCAGAAGAAGAAGAAGATCTAGGGGTGATACAGACAGTATGTCAGTATTCACTGATAAATTGACATGGGAACCTCATCTTACCTCAATTTGTGCCGAGGGAAACAAATTACTTGGTCTACTCTAGCGAACATGCGTATCAATCACAGACAGGAGTGCACAAAGGTCACTTTACTTGAGTTGACGTTAGTTACGCGACTGAGATATGCTCTCCAGCAAGTTCCGCACTGAAAAGTAAAGTTGAGAAAACCCAGAGACCTGCTATACCAGATGGATCTTGTGTGTTAAACCCGAGGAAGTGTTCTACAATGAGAGACTTCAGCTACTAGATATGCTGCCTCTTGCTTACGATCGTGAAGTTAAGGATTTGGTCTTTCTATTTAAGGCGGTGAACAGATATATAGACATTAACATTAAGTTTGTTCACTTCGTAAATCATGGCCGGACACGTAGATGATTGAGTACCAAATACTTGGAAACTCCGCTTTGTAAAACTTGTACTTACAGTTCGTCGTACGTATTTAAATCGTGTTGTTAAATTGTGGAACAGTGTTTGTAACCCAATTGACCCTAGTAATTTTTCATCTCCATCATCGTTCAGAATATGCCTCAGGACAAGTATAGTCATACTCTGGAAACTGTGTTTGATCATGAAATGACTTGGACCTGGTCCCTTAGCCGTGACTGCACATAGTTGTCACAAGCAAAACATTAAATCATTAATATAAGTAATTAAATTAATCTGCATGATAAACCTTTTAGTAAATATAATATAATATAACTATAAATTATATCTAGGACTATGTTTTTCAAGAGGAGGAGCACCTTGCAATGGTCTTAACGTCCGATTCGTACCTTGTCCTTTTGAGTACAAAACTTTATTTAGCATGCATGTTTATATGGACACATACAGTATTTGTAGTTATAATTGTATATATGTGTGAATTTGTACTTAAGAAAGTCTATAAAAAAAAGAAAAAAGTTGCACCCTCTGGTGCGCACTTATTTTCCGCAGATATGGCAGCAAAGTACTCTATTACTGAAGTGCCACAGGCTTGGCTCTTCTTAACATAATGACATAATTCTTCTTCTTTACAGTAGCAGTTTCCTTGATGAAGATTGCCAACATGCAAGACTGCCCCAACCCCTTTTGCTTGTCTCTTGCTTTCGGAATGAAAGAACTCTTGAACACCATATATCAGCATTACCTCACCACTATTACGAATATCATAATTAACCCAGACACGAAAATTTCCAGTTATCAATGTTTTTTCTGGCATCCTGTGCTATACACAGTGTTAACAAGTGGTGTAAATGCAGGCATGGTCACTTGTCACTAATTTTGTAGCTGCTTTGTCACTTGTTTTATTGTAATAAATGTCGCTGTCACTTTTGACCCATAACACAACTCGCAATTTGTCGCTTTTCCCCAGTCAGAAGCTGTCGTTTGTCGCTCTTTTTTAGATAGTCTGTCGCCTCTTTTTAAGGAATGTCGCCTGTCAGTCATAACCCCTTGGTGGACCTCATAGTGTAAATGCAGGCTCAGCATAAATATTCAAAACAGGTAATTTGATAAACTCAGATTGTATGAACAACTCCTGTACATGAAACCAACATCAGTGATGGAAACACAAACAAACACAATTATAGAATACCCATCAATTTTGAAACCTTACACCTTACCCCTTAGTGTGTTTAATCAAACAAATCGGGAATCAGTTCTATGATTGCTCCCAACTTTTTGAACTACTAATTGCAGCTAAAAAAACTTTTGGAAGCTACCCCATAGGATATCTCGCTATAGGATATTATATACTCCAGTAGCTGTAATACCAAATTTTTGTTTAAAATCCCAGAAACAATCCCCTAGGAAAATTTAAAGTGAAATTCTCCCTCCCTCCCCCATTGGATAGTCAGACCCCTCAACAGGGGGGAGGGGGGATGCCCACATTAAATGGAATATAGCTTGAGTTGAAATAGCATATACCTACAAGGTAACCTACCATCAATGACTTGTTTATACAGTTCCTGTTGTCTATTTAACTCATTAATTCTTTTCATAAACCATGTATCATCACTTCTTCCAATAAATTGTCTCGCTGCGAGCTCACTTGCGTCCTTGCCCGGTGCGTCACATCGTTGCACAAACTGCTCCAAAGTAAATTCTGGTAAAGATGGGAGAAAACGTCCTTCCGCTGGAAACTCATATGGGTTATCTTTTAAGCGTCTTGGTTGTCTTGCTGGCAGAGGATCAGGACCTCGCGGCTTATAAAGAACTAAAGCTGAGTCCAAGTTACAAGCTTGTCTGGCGAAGTCAACTGAAGCTGCGGCTGCGCCCGTTTTTTCCTTTGAATGTAAAGTTAAACATTCCTTTTTTCGTAGTTTTTCTCTCTTTCCATCCAAGTTTTTGGTGTTGCATTTTTGATAATTTGCATTGGTTTGAGATAAAGTGATTTTTGGCGGCAAAGGACGTCTTAAAAGAACAGTTGACTGAGCAGAGTCACTTGTTTTGACCGCCATATTGTTTTTACTGTTTGTTACCATAGTAATACGTGAGCGTGAAAACTGGTAACTAAAATACTTAGAAAATACTACATGAAGTATTCCACCATTAAAGAAGAAATAAAAGAGGCAAAAATGAAGTTAGAAGATCAGGTTATTCGTTCATTTCGTGTTGCTAAAGTATTTCGGGAAAACAGTGATCGTGTCAATCATTTGGACTTCTCTACTAATGGTGAGACATTGATTACAAGCAGTGATGATGATTCAATGGTTATATATGATTGTTTGGAAGGGAAGTGAGTGGATCTTTTTTGTTTGAAAATATGTTAGGCCAATGAAAATTGATATCATGTTTCTCGTCCACGATTTTCAAAAATTTGGAGCGGGATTTTTTCATTATTCATTTTTCATTATTTTTTTAATTTGAATTGCTTGTCAATAATTTCCTTGACCCAGTAAAAAACCCCATAAAAATCTGAAGTAAATCGGTTTATAATTCATTTTAATTTAATACGTCGTACACTACAGTATATTTATATACATACCAGGGCTGACGTGAAAAATTGAGGCATTCTGGCGAGTAATATCTTTAGAAAGATACAATTTGAGTTTCGCTTGCGGAATGCAGCAATAAGACCTTGATCTAGAGATCAATTTGGTGTTTTGTTAAGCCTATTTTTCAAAAATAATGAATAATGAAAAATTTTTGTGCGGCAGATAAATCCCATGCGGGCGGGGACGAGAAACATGATATCAATTTTCTTTGGCCTTATTGGTTTTATTCCAGACTGCAAAGTTTGGAAATTGCGCGCGGAAGATTTCGAAAATTTAATAGTAAATATATAGAAAGCATCAAAAATGCGCGCGGAAGATCTTCCGCACACGGTGGAGAAAATGCAGTCTGGGTTTTATTTCCTGCAGTTGTATGGAAATGTTTGATTGACCAGTTACATTTCTTATGTCAACGTTTATTACGAAAGTCACCGAACTGTGGAATCGCATCAAAAATTTGTATATCGACCACTCCCACAAACGTCTACGACCGCGCCTACATAGTTTTGCATGTTTACAATTCTAATTTTGAACAGCCAATCAGGTTCTTGGTAATTGGCTGTTTAAAATTAGAATTGTAAACATGCAAAACTATGTAGGCGCGGTCGTAGACGTTTGCGGGAGTGGTCGATATACGAATTTTTGATGCGATTCCACAGTTCGGTGACTTTCGTAATATATTTGATTTATAATTTATAATCAAATATAAAAGTTGACATAAGAAGTGTATCCGGTCAATCAAACATTTCCATACAACTGCAAGAAATAACCCCAACCTGACACTAACCCCAACTCTAAGCCTAACCCTTACTATTTCAAGGGTTTTTTTTTCATTTTGCCACCAAAACTTGCATTGAGTCATTCCAGAAAACATTCACTGATTCGCACCTCCCCCATGGAGGAAATTGGTAGTTAACCCACCACCACCACCACCACCAACCCCTTTCATTTGGGGCGGCAAATCCAGTGCCGTGCACCAGTAGATATATCTCCATGTTTACACCCTGCTATCAATACATGGCGAAATCAGTTAATTGCTAAAACGTTATGTCATTAAAATTTAAATATTCATGCACTTTTAAACATGTATATTAGGATCTATGGGATATTGAAAACATAATATTTTTGTTTTTATTGATCACACCACACCCACAGTGATCAGACTTTTAAACTTGTGTCTAAAATGAAGAGGGCTACATTTCATCAAGAATTTAGCCTCGATTTGTAAAACTCAGGCTTTGTACTTGTTACCCTGCTGGCAGTGGTTTCTGAGACCACTGCCAGCAGGGTATGTACTTGTCTTACCAGACGAGAAAATCAGTGCACTGTATGTTGCCACTTCTCATGTGCTGCAAGTGATGTGGCGAACAAAGTAACCTGCAATCCACAATTGCAATTTCCATTGATGTACCTCTAATTTGTAATTCGAACAGGAAGAAAGGTAACAAACAAAATGGTATAATTAAATGTACTACAGTGTAGCTAAACTACTGTAAACAGCATTCTCTGCTTGTTAGGAAAGCTTATACACAGTATCTACAGTATTAGAAATTCTGGCACAGACCTGGGCAACAAAAAGGTATAGTCTGTCTGATATGTAATTCAACTGCATGTGATGTCAAACACTATCACTGACATGAACGTGGCAAGCAGGCTGGTGGATCAAATGTCAAGATGAAGTATTTGCGAAGTTCAACTTCATGTATACATATAGACATGCGTCGTCTTGGGGGATGGTTCAGAGTTCAAGATTGGAATTTTTTTCTAGTATCCATCATGGATACCAGCATTTCAAACTTGGTATCCAAATACAAACACTGGTATCCAAATACAAACACTGGTATCCAAATACAAACACTGGTATCCAAATACAAACACTGGTATCCAAATATAAGAATATGGTAGAATCATGATATCGAATGTTTAAAACTTTGAAACACATATTATAAACACACAAAAGCCATTATATATACTCTGGTATTCTTTACTTTTAGTTTGCTACTGGGTACAGGGAACATTGATAAAATAAGTTACAAAGTAGAATAGATATGCATTATTTCTAAAATCTAAATATAACAATGTATATGTAAACATATTATTATAAATTTCCTCTGTTCTTCACCAGCTAAATATGAAATCTTTCAAAGTCTGATAGTAAATTTATTGTCACTTTAAATTTGGTATTCGAACATGTGTTTTGAGATCAAAACAGAAAAGAATGCAGAAGTGGAAATTTAATGTAGCCTGATAATGAAAACACCCGCCAATTTCAGGTGAATTTGCGGCTGTTTCAGTCTCTCGGCAATTAGCTACAGTGTACTACTGGAATTGAAATTTGAAGCAAAGTAAAATAAAATATTTTAGCGTTCACGTTACTTTACGAGCGTTTCAAAACTTATCTGTAAAATTATGTATAATTATATTTTGTGATTCCCCTTGAGAAAGTTTATAAGCAATGTTCAAAAATTGATATTTAAGCAAGAATTTCCTGGTATTCAGTTAGGATACCAAGGTTTTGATATCTGGATACTAGGATACCAGTATACCACCAATCTCGAACCCTGGGATGGTCCGTCTTTGTGCATACATGTATTAGTGTATTAGCATAACCTCAGACAAGCTATCGGTCCGGAAGAACTGCTACACTGAGACTGATATAGTGTTAGAACAAGATTGGGAGACTGGCCACAGGCAATGTTAAGAAAGCCTTAACAATTAAATTCTGCGATTCTTGGCGGTGTACTAAGAGGATAAAAGGTTGGCATGGTAGTGATACAGTACATTTGGTGTGATTTTGTTTGTTATTACCTATTCTGTTTACGCGCCAGTCGTTTGATGAGAAATGTGAAAAGTAGCGAATAGCGATTGTTGCTTGAAAAGTATTAATCAACTACCTGGCTACTGAAACTCACAATACCGAAATATACCGAAAATACAATTGTAATATTTTAAATTCTAGACCACGGCGTACATTATACAGCAAGAAATATGGTGTTGCTCTCATTCAGTATACACATGCAGCAAACACTGTGATCCACGCTTCAACTAAAGTCGACGGTGAGAATTTAAATGAAACCCTATCCATGTCTATAATCTTTGTACTGTATATTCCATATTGCAATGTCAAACTGCTGCAGTATGTATAAGCTTAGGTCATGTTAATCATATTTTAGTACTACAGCAAAATTTATGGAAATTCATTTCATTTCCGTTGTCGTTGATATATATACATGACTGTACATATATTATAGTAGTACCCGTGCGTATCAGCGTATGATCCCAGGGACCCAGACGCCTTGACCAGTGGAAAGCATGGGTTGATGTGTTGAAATCTGTAGCTCATAATATATATGTTTGCAGTATTTGCATTTGTTTTATTTCTGATTTTCAGACACGATCCGTTATTTATCTCTCCATGACAACAAATTTTTGAGATATTTTCAAGGGCATACAAAAAGGTACACAATAGATAGTACATGACTTTTATTAATTGTATTTTCCTCAATACTGTAAGTTCAATTGGTTTAATTTGTTATGATTGTTTTATATTTGTTCACTTGTACCGTACGGTAAGTCTAATAATGCGTGCATGAATCAGAGTTTTTATTATTATTATTATTATTATTATTAAAACTTTATTTAAAGAAGGTTAATTTGCAAGGAAATATGCCAGTTTACTTTTCGCTAATCTTCCACTGGATAATCTTCCACTATATAATCAAATATATTTACATGCAGTACAATTTACATTTCTACAGACTACACTATACATAATTACATAAAGTACATATCGATATAGGTATAACAAATTAGAATTAAAATACACTGTACATCTTACGAGACTCAGTTATTTTTATACATATCCAAAAACAATTCATGGGCTTTACGCTTGAAATGGCTCTATCTAGAACATTTTTGCTACTGTAAATCTGTAATATCAAATTAATGTCCCTGATAAATAATGAATGCTTGCTATAATTTTGGATTTTTAGAGTTGTGACGTTGAGCATGTCACCTTTAGATGATTCTTTCATATCTGGTTCTCTGGACAAAACTTTACGATTATGGGATTTGCGTTCTCACAACTGTCAGGTTTGCCTCGTAACAACTAACATGCTTTCGCAACGAACTGTTTGTCTTGTTTTCTCTTGCACTAATTTTGCTTTATAATAGTACCTATTTACACCTTAGATTATTTCTATTTAGGGTCTAATGCAAGTCAATGGCAGGCCTGTGGCAGCATTTGATCCCGAAGGTCTGGTTTTCTCAGCCGGAGTTGACAGCGAGATGATAAAACTGTATGATCTCAGGTCTTTTGACAAGGTAAGTAATATAGCCACACTGTACACAGTGACACCATTTCATAGCAGTACAATAACTCGAGTCGTATATGAGCTGATAGGCGACGAGGTGCATAGCACCGAATTGGCTTTCAGTCGTATACTGTACGAGAAGAGTGAGTAGAA